TTTTTAAAGCTGTCATTGTGCTGTGACAGTATTATATGAGACAGATGATCTGTGAGGAAAAATTGAGCACCTTCAGGTCTGAAGAAACACACCGCTCCTGGTCAAAAACAAACAATTAAAGCTAGGAGGAGGGTCTTAGTGCTGTCAATCAACCCAGGTGGGTGCTGCTCAACTTAATGTCACAGAAAAACTGTTTTTCCGACGTTGTCACGAAGCTGTTGTAGGGGCATGATTAACAGCGTTAAGACCCTCCTCCTGGCTCCGACTTGTCGTTTCTAGTTAGCGCTGGGAGCTCTGGGTGAAGGCAGTGGAGCTGGAATCGTTTCACAGATTATCTGCCTCATACTGTCTAGACGTAGTTGGACAGTTTCATTTTAATTTACATGTAAAGATCCGACACCCCTAAATAAAATCCCGTGACCTGGTAAATGAGAGGGGCAATTAAATCTCTGCATAAGTACAGCTGTTCCTTAAAGGCTTTAGAGTTAGTTTTTTTTTTAGAGAAAATAAGTGAATGTTAGCACTGTTCAGTTGATCATCTGAAAATGGAAATTGTGTAACCCAACTACAAACTTACAAAGGTTTGTAGTTGGGTAAAGAGAGCAGTAGTCTCCTAATCAGTCAAGACACAAAATGCTGTGTGAGGCAGAAAAGTCTCTCTATGACTGAACCTCAATAAGGTTGATTTGTTGGGTGCATAAATCGAATTCATCAGGAACCTCAATTGTGACCCGCAACTCAATGCGGTTGGGTGAAATTTGAATATGTCTTTCAAGAATATGAGTGGTAACAGGCTACGAAATCATAACAAGAAAAGCAGCGCGAGACGATCCAACTGTGTTCGAGCAAACTTAGCTTGTAGCAGCGTGAAAAGCAAGCAGCCCTCCCCTCGCAGCTCTGAATTAACACAAGTTGTGCTCGTTCCCCACTCTGGTTTATTGAATCCTGCTTGACTCAGCTCCCTTCAAAGCAGCGTAAAGATCCCGAGAGGCACACAGCTATCTAAAGAAGGAGTTGCAGATCAGACCGGTTAACAAATTCATCATGTTTGTCTTGTTTTCTTTTTTTATAAGTCCTGGCAACACACTTTCAGCTGAAGTAAAAGAGCACATTTGTGCATGGCACGTCTCGGCAGACCCTCGAAAGCCGCTTTCCTTCTAAATCATGACCATAAATGACGCCTGCGCTCGGGCTGCTTTTATGATTCGCACTGAGGACGGGGGGTGGAGGGGAGAGGGTGGGGGGGGGGGGGGTTCGGGGGGCAAAAAAAAGAAAAGAGAAAAGGAGAACACAGGACTTGTGGGTAATTGTGGCTCAGAGTGGTGGGAGAGGGAGCGTATGGGAAAGACTCTGAGGCCAGATGTGTGAGGAATGTTCTGGCTGCTGCAGCACACAGAGGGCGGATGGATGGGTGGATGGATGGATAGATGGGATGGGGGCGGTTTGGAGGGTGGCGGTGGTGCTGGAAGTGTGTGTGTGGGGGGGAGGGAGAGAGAACCAGTCGAATTACACAGCCTGCAGATTGTTAAAGAGCTGTCAGGCCTCCAGCGTTCTACTGTGTGTTTCACATCATCTCCAGAGCGGCTGCAGCCCGTCCTCTCAGCGGAAAGAGAGCAAGTTTCTTTGTTGCTCAAGGTTCTCACGCTTTTCCCACAGTAAAGTTCAATCCGATCACTTTCAAGCTTTTTTCAAGGTAAGTTTTCAAACTTTTCCAGCGCCGCACCGAGGAGATTAAAGCAGGACAAACGAACTGAAGAAAGGCTGTTTCAATTCACTGTGATGTGATGTCGTTTACTACTGGCATTGATAATGTCACCAGGGACAAGACAGGCTAAAATAATAGCATTTTGTGTTTTGACTGGTCCAAGAACAAAACAGAATGCACTGGATTAATCTACAAAAAAAAAAAAATCTCCCAATTTCAATAATGTNGTTTTAAGCCAGTAGNCATTNGGAATAATAAATGTTCATTTAGTTCAAACAATCCAAACAAAAAGGTAGATGATCTTCTTATTCAAATAAAAAGAAATCATCCAAAGACGAAGCAAAATCTCTAAAGAAATTTAACCTACATGTATTTCTAAGGTGTCGATTGGTATGGAGACAAAATATATGGAGAAATATTTGAATTTCTAAACTTTAGTTCATTTACTTTTTTTTAAGCAATCCGTCCATCTAATCACTCACTAATCTATATATCAATCCCCCCATGTTTGTCTGTCCATCCATTTGTTGCTCCATCCATAAGTCCTTAACTTCATTCATCAAGTTTTCCATTCATCCATCCATCCTTAAAGCCCAAACACTGGACAGTTTTCTTGCATTAATTAATAGAAAAACGTCCCATTAATTTATTACAAATTGGCTGAGAAAAGGACCGAACCCTCTGGAAATTAGAGTTTGGAAAAGTCTGGACTTCTGACATGACAAATGTGCAGGAACCCTGGTGTTTGCACCAAACCACCGACCACAGGACCGAACTTTAAAGCTAATCCATCGTGATCATTCCACAACCTCAAAAACTTGGGCATGTGCTCACAGAGCCTACCCACAATCCACCTGGTGAGCTCAACCTGCGTCACGGGTAGATAGCAAAGCAAAAAAGAAGTCGGGGGGGGGAACGAAAGACAGAAAGAAGAAAAAAAAAGAAAACACCCTCCATCTGCTTCCCATCATCTTCATCCATCTCCCCCACCCCTGTCAACCAGACTCTTTCTCCCTCTCTGTTTCATGCTCTGCCTAGCCAACTCATCCAGCCCTCCAACACCACAACCACTGGAGCTGCGGTGTGGATAAATAGTCCCCCAACAGCTGGGTCTGACTTTTGACCAGGACCACCCCTCCAGACAGGACCAACAACACTGCCTTTTCTTTCCCACCACAACCACTGCCACCACCTCCTCTCTGAGTGTGTATCCTGTGTTTCAAAGACGGAGCCGAGACAAGTCAGAGTCTTTGTTTATGTTATGATTTATTTGAGCTTGTACATTACGACTCTGTTCGTTCAGATTCATTACTCGGGCATTTCATAAATGGCCCTCTGACTTGCTCCGTCTGACCTCGGTGAAGGTTTGTTTACAATTCCAGACTTGCAAAAAAAAAAAAAAAAACGGGATTTGAGGTATGATCGTTCGACAAAAACCTATTTTCCCGTGTTTCCTTTCAAATGTTTCAGGACTATACACAAATACACCCGAGCCGTACGCGGCTCCAATAAATTCTTGATTGCGCCTTTAAGTCGAGAGCGTGTTGTTTGTTCAGCTGCTCGAGGGCCTCGGAGAGAAACCCGGGGAGGCCGCGGAGAATTCATACCTTCTATTCATCACAGAGGAAGGGGAGGAGGGAGGAGTTTTAGGACGAAGAAAGAGCGAGGAAATGAAAAGACAAGAGCCTGTTTTTTTCCGCCCCCCCCCCTCCTTCTCTGCTGAGTAAGGAAAGAGGTAAGCTCTGCTTTCTGACAGCTGGGCCGAGAAACCTCTGCTCAAATGATCAACGACTCATACCTCATTTATGCAACCATTAAGGCACAAATTGTTTCAGATTTGCGGCAATCAATAATCTCAGTTCCAGACTGAAAAGACAGAGGTTCTTTTTATCTACGGAGGGATTTTCATCGCGATGCACCAGATTTTTGTTTCAAAAGATATACAGAGGAATGGACTACAGACGTGTTGAGTCGGTATAAAACTGACCGCTGGCTCACAGGAAATAGCATCACGGAACCATTATCAATGGGGACATTTGCATCACGTTTTTGTACAACTTTTTAGGACCTTGAAGAAAGTTTACTTCTAGATAAGATGTTCTAAAGCTTTCGTACTTATGAGCAAATCTCTATTAGTTGACTACTTACAAATCAGAAGCAAAATAAACAGCAAAAACACATCATGTGCCCTTGAGTAGGAACTGTTGACTTATTGCCTTCTTAGCGTCCCGTCTTTCTTGAAAGTTCATCGAGGTTCAGAGTTGCGAGCCTGTACCTGTTGAACCATCTGATTCCAGCTGATGGGATTCAGGTCAGGCCACTTTATTCGAGGTACCGCTGTGTCCAGCAGCCGGGACCTCAGTGAGCTGCAGCATCGTCGTCTACGTTGATGAAATTAGGCCTCATAGGAATGATGACATTATTCAGGCAGTATTGGCTTCTCACTGTGCCATTCACAAAATGTAGGGCAGTTTTGTCAACACTGTATCACCACCAACACCAAAAGCTTGTTTAAAGACAACAGCAGTTGATACATCGCCGGCAGCCATCTTGTCTACTCGATGTGAACTGACTTTCATCAGAACCAACCAGTCCTTCATCCGGGGTAAATGCTCCCTCGTGGTGCGGTCAGGGGCCCTAGAACAAGCTGAGGTAAATAGTTTCCAATGGCCAGACGGAAGACCTCTCTTAAATGAGTTGAGTGGCATTCATCATCCGGTTCCACAAGAGAACTGTTCACAGCGTGGGATGTGGCCAAAGGACGTCCACCTCCAGACCTTTTCTACGCCTCTCCCAGTCTCTGTATCTTCGTTGCAGCCTACAGATGTGACACTATGACCTCAGCGGCCACTTCCACCTGAGGACATCCTGTTTGAAGCCCTGCAGACACAAAGTACTGTTGATCAGACGTGAGGTGTTGTCTCGTTCTCACAATGTCGAAGTGAAAGCTGAACGTCTCCAACTTTTAGTAAGTAGTCTATTTCTAAAAACAAAACCCAAAAGTTAAGACGTCAGCTAATACGCAGTTCAAACAAGATCTGTTAAAGCTGGAGAAAGGCAGAAAGTGTAGATGATCAACGATGTTGCATTACATAAAATGCAGTTTGTCGTCAGAGAAACTTTGTTGTGGTGTCATTATGGTTTGGGCCTGCTTCGCTGCTTCTATGTAGAGGTTATCTTTTTGCCACAGAGGAACAGATAAAATCTGAATAATGCTAATGGGACATCTGAGCTGACGTCATGTTTGTAAATCAAAGGTTAGGAGAAAAGCATAACCACAAGTATAGAATGACTAAACTGTCTCGCAACCATATTTAACCTGACATGACATTTCTACAAAGATGCTGAAAATAAAACAAAGCAGCAGATGGAAACAGATGAGCAAAGTAGATTAAATACTTTGAAAGAATAAATGACAAAATTTCTCAATTCAACATTTATCGGAAAACGAAAGAAATGAATAATTCTCCAGAAGGTATGGTGGAAAATTTGGTACTGGACAAAGTTATTGAACCGACGGTCACTCTTGTACTTTTAGGCCTTAAAACTATGTATCCAGTCCTAACAACGTGTTTTAAAAAAATATATCCTAAAAGAAATGGGAAACAAAATCAGCAAAGGCAAGTCAGGATTCCTGAGATGTGTGTCTGTCTCTTCTTATGAATCATCCACTGTTTCCATAGCGCCGTCAGTCAGGAGTTGTGTATGAAAGCAGAAAGTGAAGGTGAAATTAGGAACCTTTTTGTCCAATTAGACAACATTTATTGGAAATTGAAGGAGTCGGGCTGCGGTTGGGGACTGAAGTGCCCAGGTGGAGATTTGTGTAAGTAGGCGACAAATTGTGATGAGGTAACAATGTCACAACATGATATGAACACCAGATTTTAATCCTGACCATGACTGACTTCCTTTTTTTTTAGTTTTACCTCAGAAGAAATAGATCTTGTAAAGTCTGTGTCCACGAAATTCCTTCATAACTTTTTGAAGTTGCAATTTTCCATGGAGTTTGTAGTGACTCTGTGTGAGATACAAAGTGTAGCTGCTGTTTTATGCCTGCTTGTACAGGCAAAACTAAACATCAAAGCTCATTGGACCTACATAATACATGATGCTGGATTCACAAGAACAAGATAAGATGACATTATAGCATTTTAATATTTTTGCTACACACAACAAACTTGTATTCTTGAATCAGTGGATCAGCCACAGCGTCACTGAACTTTGTGGATCACTTTCCATCCAGCTTAATAACCGTTCGGGGTTAACGATACTGAAATGTTTGAAAATTTTCTTTGACTCACAAGGAGAGAAACACTGAGAAATGATTAGAGGAAGAATAAAGAATCATACAATAGTAAAATAATGTAATTGTCTTGCAGTAACAGCAGTCTGGGAAGAGACCTTAAGCCACGTTCACACTGCTGATCTTATTGCTCATCAGATTTTTTTTTTTGTTTATTTGCTGAGACAGTTGGGTTTTTTGGGGGTTTTTTTGTTTTGCATTGTTACATTTCAATTTTAATGCAGCTGTCATCAGACTCAAATATGAACAGCCTGCAGCTCTGAAGTGACCCGAAGAAGACCTGACATCACCACGCTGCGTTTTCCTTATGAGTGGCGCACATCAACTGCAGCGTAACAATTTTGGAATTGGAGTCAATAAAACGTCAACAACATGATCTGCTCAATGATCGCTTCGTCGATTGTTGGATGTTACATTGGGTCTTGCCGCTTCCCGCCTGCTTGGGTGCCAAATAGCTAACCTGTCACTCTTCCATTCAGACCCAGGTTGTTTCAGTTTGGGAAAGCACATGTAAAATAACCCGAGTCTGAACTGTGCTGTTCATTATGGACCACTGAATGAGCAGACTGAACGTAGCTATAAAGGGAGCAGGATGGGATTAGCTAGAATCCGAGGCAAGCGATTAACGAGGTGACAATTACAGGCCTGAGGAACAGGTGAGGGTAATTATCTGAATGCGCTGCAACTGTGGCGAAAAATATGCAAAGACATGGAGGTGTAGTGGCTAAAATGACACAGAATGAATTGAGAAAGAGTGGAAAGTGATTACTGAAAGAAGCAAATTAACCAAACGATAATCCACTCAAAATACAACTGGTAGAACAACAAAATGCAAAATCAAAGCCCAAAGATTCACTTTAGTGTCAAGAAACCAAAATCATAGTTAAAATTAAAACAGCAAGTGGACAGTTCTTCCTGAGACGGGCTTCACCGTCATCACGCTTCCCCATGGTGTTGAGAAGTAAATCAAAAATCAAATGGTTAAATCAAACTCCACAAACGAAGGATGATTAACCCTGCTGCTGCTGTGGAACACGTTCAACCTGAACAGACAGGATTTGCCTTTCCCCGTGATTCAACGCTAGGCTCATCTCCATTCTGCTCCCACTTCCTCTGTCACGATCATCTCTGCTTCACCCTGTTGTTACTCACTCTAGTTGCAACAGTGGTGCTTCACAAGTGTCTCATCAGCACTTCTCACTTCCCCTTTTGGTGGACTGAAAAACACTGCAGGCTGATTAAGTTCAGATCAGGAAGAAGCCGCTGTGGTCAACAAATAATCCCTACCATGTGAACCGCGCTGCGTCTGGAACGGCTAATAAACCGCTCGCGCTGATTCAGCAAACATGCTATCTGAGTTCTTAACCATTTGACCGTGTTTGGAGTCAAACTTGTTTCCAGAGTCCCTACTACAGCTGGCACGAGGTTAAGAAACTGGGACGGGCAAAAGAAGAAAAAAGGGCGGGAAAGGAAAACACTCGGAGAGGTAGTTTTGAGAGCCCCAATGGTTTATTACCCTCGATTTTCAGGGGCTGAAATTTCAGCCTTGCTTTGAGGAGAAACTCGAACCGCTGGTCCAGCTGTCCACAGCTTGCCAGGATTGAGAAAACCTCCACCGCACACATTCTCCCAAACCTAGTCTCTTCTTCTTTTTTTTTTTTTGCGCCCCCCTCCTCCCTTGCGTCTCCCAGCCAGGTAATCAATAGGAAACCCACACCCAAACACGCTGTGGCTGCCAGAGGAATCGAGACAAGCTGCTGTGACATGAAGGTCCCACAAACAAATCTGTCACTCGGGCGAGCGACCGTGTTCTCACTTGTATGTTTTATGTTCTCTGTCCCGCTCTAGCTGTGCAAACAAAAACAACAAACAATTGTAACATGACCAGATTGGAAACAATTGGAAATGTTTCAGCTCTTTGGTGCTATTTTTATCAAGCTTTTATCATTGACTATTATTTTGAAGGAAGAAAGGAAGAAGTTCTTGGGCTGAACTTTCGCTTTGAGACAGACGACAAACAAAGAGCTATTGTTGGGCTGGATGCAAATAGCCAGTTTTATTAGCAAAACTTTAAATGGTCTGTGTGGCAGGGACAAAGCAACAGGAAACACGTAAATGATTTGTAAGTACTGTGAAAATATCGGGAGTGGCTAACAATCAGCGCTGACGACGCTAGCAGCAGACTCTAATCTGAACTATCCTGCTGCGCCAAGCTAGTGGTGCATGTTAGCAATCATCTTATTGAATAAATTGTATCTAGATTATTATATCTAGCTACTTTGTGCGCTGTGTCATCTCGTGAGCTGCGTACATTGTTACACCCCTCTTGTTTAGTGGAATTCATCAAATAGTGATGCTTTTTTTTTTTTACATCACTATTACAGGATTTTATTTTATTTTTTTAATGGTTTTAGAAAGTTCACATTTATATGAGGTTCTAACTGAAAAAGTTGAGTGAAATGTGTTTTTTCTAACAGGTGATTATCATGTTTAGATGGAGAAACTCTGCTTTGTTCTCCTCTGTGCCTCGCGCGGTGCAGCGGAAAGACACTCCGACCTCACAGTGACTCATTATCCAGGCCTCGGTCACACACAGGGAATTAGTGACCTTGGGCACTGGACAATGAGGAGTTGTATAAACTGCTTGTCTTATCAGTCTCTGGGAAATGTATCAACTGATCTTTTCTAGCCAGACTCTCCCACAGCCTCCTGCAGCCTTGCCTCGGCTTAGATACAAGGAGCGGTGATGATGTCATCGTGGCGTCGAGGACTTCAGCTTTGATCTGGGATTATAACTTTGCCGAATGTCTTCAGTAAATCAAACCGGTTGCTCTGCTGGTTTTAGTTTATTTGTCATGCAGCAGTTTCCTCTCTTAAATTAGCATGAATCTGAATCATTCATTTGCTCATTGTTTCAAGTCACGGTAAAGGGGCAGTTCAGAGTTTTTGCATTGAGGTTCTCTTTAAAGTTCATGACGAGTTTATGTCTTACCTACAACTAGTTAATGTTTTGATATATTAAGACATAAAAGAACATTTTACTCGGTGCCAGAAACAACAGCTAACAGCTTTCCTGACGGTCCATGATTATACCAGGTTTCTTTAAAATACTCCAATGTCAAAAACTTCATTATGATTTATGTTACTTTTTCTTTGGATGGTTATTTACAGAATTTGCTATGGACAATGGATGTAGGAGGTGGTGTGTTCCCAATTATCTTCCTGTAGAAAACACATAGAGAGAATAGGAAGTAATTCAAGTCAATAAAAGTGACTGATGTAAAAAGTAAAAAACCGAAACAACAAAAATAATTCTAACAAAATGTAATTATATTTAATCGTACAGTCTTCTGAAAGGAAGCAACTCTGACTTGTAACAACTTACATGTTCTGTTCTTAGTATGTTTCCCACAGGAAGACAATTAGTGGTGCACCGCCTCCATCCAGGAGTTTCTGTTTAAATAACTGTGAATAAACTGAACACCACATCTAGCATGTTAAATACATCTGAATATGGAGGCAGATGAGATTTTAAAAATAACAGCATTTAATTAAACATACTTTTGTTCAAACCAACATTTGTGTGAAAAATGTTTTTTATTGGTATGACGTAATGTTAAGTAATTTATGTCTTTTCATGAGCTTGAAGCAGAAAATAATCATAAATAAAAGCTTGAAAACATCAGTCGATGTGCAATTAATCTTTATAATGTCCACTTAAACTGAATTAAATAAATTAACTTTTTAATAATGTTTTAATCTGTTAAATAAATCAAATGCATGTTCCAAAATTGCTCTGAATAAATCTCAAGGCTGATTTTGAGTTTTAAGATAGGAAGGGTTTACTTGGACTTGCTGTTTGCTTTTGCCTCTAAAATTCAGACATTACTCCAAATAAAGAAGAAACATGGAGTCTGGAGACTTAACTACTGCAGGTAATTTATTTACCGCTCTCAGTATTTCAGCAGAACCTCACTATAAATATTTTGTCCATGTAAGTGCAGCACAGCAGCTACAGTACGCCATTCATCTTCAGGAGACATCATTCCTTTTTTTATTACTTGTGCAGGTTAACCTAAATAGAAGAACAAGACAGCTGCCAGATTTAAGGCAGTTGCGCAACATCGAGGATGTAAAGGAAACGGTTGCTGCCAAGTGTTTATATCATCTGGTTGTTGCGACAGACATGTCCATCTTTTTTTTTTTTTTTTTTTAGAGGATTTATGAAATATATGACTTCAAAACAACTTCTGTTCTTGCTCAACAGTGAAAAAAAATACAGAGCAAGGCTACCGGTTTGCTAAAATGATGTTAATCTTACTAAATAACACAAAAAAATGCATTGTAGAAACGATGTCATCTATTCTTTTCAAAAGAACCAAATTTAGATTTTTATTTGTTTGCTTGTTGCCAATTAAGTTTTAAAAATCTAATGTTTTCGCCAACCATCTGCAGAGCCTCCTTTTGCTTCCACTCTGCATGCTCTGTAGATATGTTTCTATCGGCGTTCTGCATCTAGAGGCTGAAACTTTTGTACTTTTTCACAGAATTGCTTAAATTGTAGCAGATTTTCAATTATACTTAGGCCTAAATACTTTAACATGAACTATTTCCTTGAATCTTGGGCACCTCTGTTCAAGTATTTTGCAGGTTTTTCTCAAAGATTGCCCCATATTTCCATCAATCGTCCCATCAGCTCTGACCAGCTTCCCCCGTCCCTGCTGAAGAAGAGCATCTTTACACCATGATACTGCCACCACCGTGTTTCACAACGGGAATGGTTTGTTCACATCAGTAAATTATGCACAAGTAGACTTTGCTCACTATTCAGGTAACTTTTGAGGACAATTGGTCGCACTCGATTATATTTTACCAAAGGGAAAGGATGTATACAAAATTTATTTGAAAGAAAAAAATGCATTACTTTTTTTTTTTCCATTTCTTACTTATGTGCCACGTAAGTAAGTCTGGGTGTGACACATAAAGACATACATCAAAGCTTGTGGTCCACGTGATAAAATGTAGAACACTGTATAAAACAGTAAAATACATAAAACACTCAACAGGCGTTTTGTCGTGCTGCTTTGTCCAGGACGTAATTGTTGATCGAGGCGCCGGATTCGAACAAAAACAACAACAACAAACGCGCAATATGGACGGAGGAAGCGTGGACTGGGGAGGAGGAAGAAGGCTTGTTGGCTAGCAGATGTTTCAGCTTTTGGGTTTTTGGCTAGAAAAGAGCAATTAAGAACTCCCCTTAATGAGGCTGGCAGCCACCCTATAAACTGTCTGGTTCAGTGAAAGAGTTGCTCATTAAGCGAAACGTTCCCCCACCCCGCGCCTCTCTTTGGCGCTGCCCTCGCTTGTACAGGAAGTAATGGATCAGACTTTTGAAAAATTGTATGCCATCTTCAGACAAAGTTATTTTGTCTGAACGAGCTGGCTTCGCGCTCACACCAACTCGTCTACGCGCGCGCGTGCGTGTGTGCGTCCCGATTTCCGTCCACGTACGCCGACATGTTTGTTGCGCGCCTGGCTCGAGCCGAGTGTGGGGAAGTGATGCACATTTTCCATGAGGCAGCTAACTATGCACCTCCAGCACTGAAGGCCACAACAGTCAACAGAACATTACAGATGAGAATGCCGAGATTAAAATACCAAACAACCCAAATGGGGGCCAGATCCTGTTTTCCCACCCTCCGTTTCTGTTCGCCATAAACTTATAATTTAGCTAATAAAGCGCAAGCACCAGAAAAAGAACCCCGGAGAGCTGGCTCGCAGCTGCTTGTAACAGAGCCCTACACAGGCGCTGATTTGTTTGTCACCCTCGCGTTTCCAAAACAGGGCTCCGCTGACCGATGGAAATCATATTCACTCGTGAACCGTACAGCCAGAAATGTGAGTTGTTTCATGCCGCACTTTATTGAATATTTAATAGGCGCAGTCCTCTGGAGTTTGCGATCACATAATTGAATCCTTTGGCTTCGGTTACACAATAAATATCAAGTTTTGTGGCCGTGCGATTTTGGCTTGAATTCGCTGCGTGTTTCCAGAAACCGAGAAGGATGCTGAATCGAATGGGTCCAGTTCTTCAAAAGAGTTCCTTATTTATGGTGCTTTCTTGCACATTTTTACATTTTCGTCTTAGAACCACAAACTTAAATGCATCTCGGATTTTACGTGACACATTAGCACAAAGTAGTACATAAAGGAAGGAAGACAGACATATATATATATTTTTAAAAAAGTTCAAATAAAATTTCAAAAAGTCAAGTATTTGTACTAGGTCCCCTTTATGCAGATGCACCTAAATACATACGACTCTCCACTCCGGACTTAAAACTTTTACATCTTTTACCAGTTTTTTTATCCTGCCCCAAAAAGTCTCACAATGGCGAAGTCAGGGTGATCTGCAGCGTGTTCCTCCACACATGTGGACCAAAAAGTTCAGTTTTGGTCTCATCTGAATTTAACACGTCCTTCCATATATTTGTAGTATCCCCAACAAGGGTTGTGGTGAACTATGAAGATGAACTTAACATTGGGGTCTTCTTCTTCTCACTGTTCCATGAAGATGAGAAAGTGGAGTGTGGGACATGCGGTTGTCCTGTCAGCATGTATTTCCACCTGAGCCGTGGATCTCTGCAGCTCCTCCAGAGTTAGCGTGTGAATCTTAGTAACTTCTTTGAATAAACCTCTTTCTGCAACGGTTCTCAATTTAGGTGGGTAGGAATGTTTTTGTCACGATCCTGGGGATTGTTGTTTTTTTTTTTTTTTATCCTTTGTTTGCGTGGTTTATTTATGTTCAGAAAGTTTTGCCGTATACAGCTTAACGTTTTTACTTATAAGGGTTTGCCGTATACATCCATCTCTTTATGTTTAGGTTCTTGTGTTCTGTTGTTGGATTGTATTAAAAGGGAACCAAAGTAAAATGCATGCAACACAATTCAGATATTTATTTTTGAAACACTTCACAGCTGCTGCTCTACTTTGAGCTGGTCCGTTGCATAAAATGCCACTAAAACAGATTAAAGTTAATGTGACAAAACGCTAAAACATTCCAAAGGGTGCAAGTAAAGCATTTTCAGTTTTTTTTTTTTTTTTTTTTTTTCAGGCTTTATGTGGTCAGGTGACCACACAAAACTAAACCAAACCAAACCACAGGATTAACTGATTACCTGAAAAAATAAACACCAAATCAACCCTTCCCCCTAGAACAACAAGGGATACCGCTCTCGCTGAGCATATCTGGTGGGGCCTTGTCCCCGGACCCCCGTCTGGCACCAGGAGGACTTGGCACAAGGCGCCCCATTGAGTCCTGACCAAAACTAGGTCATTTGCAAAGCTCCCGCTGGACACGCGCGGCGGAAAGAAAATAAACGCGGAGATGAAGAGAGCTTGACGGGAGGCGGCCGAGCTTCCTGCGAGGGCCACAGAGGGATGCTGGGAGCGAGGTTAAGATAATGCGGAGCTGTGATAATGCACTGGCGTTTTCGTGAGCTCGAGGTTGCCTTCCATGTCACCTCCGAGTCTTCCTTTCATTGTTTCAGGCTTTACCGTGTGATGTGTTCGTCCAAGTTTCCTCCAGCTGAGTTCAATGATATTTAACCCCCCTCCCTCACCCCCACCGCCATGTTTAAAATCATGAAGGAATCCCAAATCGCTTTCATAAATCACCCTCTTACCGAGGCAGACATTGCAAAACAGGCCCTGGTTGACGTTTGACGGCTAATCATAACTTAGAGAAATTATCAAGTAAAGCCTTACAGCCCACGACTTGACCTATTGTTCATGTCTCTCTCTGAAGCCTGCAAACAGCCGCGCAGCAGCACACATGTTGTTGTCATCACCGCCAGGACAGGCCTTCTCGAAATATCTGGTAGAAATCCCAGGCACGCAGGAAGCGAGAAAGAAAAAAAAACAAAAAAACAATGCAGATATGAGAGGCGGGAAATCAGGTGACTGGAGTTTTAATTGTTTTTTCCCCCTTATAGTGTTACAGCAGAAACACACTCGCTGGAGCCAAACACAACCGCACCGAAAAAAATAAAATAAAAAATGCACACGCTTACATCTGAAAGGAACCATGTCCACCCGGTCCCTCCAGCCTCCTTCTCCCTCCCTTGGTGAAAATCCTGAAGTTCTCCGTCAACAGTCCGTGGAGTTATGGAATCGATCCCTACCCCCACATCCTCCCTTCTCCGTGCAGCTTCAAGCGTATGCCTGCCAGATGTCCAAAAGCAGAGAAAGGGGAATATGAAAGCTGAAGCCGAAGACTGCCAGAGGTGTCTTTTATGGAAGGAGTTAATGTCCTAATCATATAACATAACAGATGCCATCAGTTTGCCGAGAACCAGTGCCTCCCCTTTCCGCATCAGTCTCTTCAGGATTGCTTTTTGGAAAAAAAACAAACAAACAAAACGATGATTTTCCTTCTTCTTCCATTCAAATAAACTATCCTATTTTTAAATCACGTTGACATTCGTGAAAAAGACATAACTTCTAAGCTTAAAAAAAAAATACCCATTGTTCAGTGAAAATGCCTAAACTCCTTTGTTGAGGTATTGTGCGTTTCTGTAAACCGCATACATGTGAGGGGGAAACTCGAGCCCGTGATTTGACTTGAGTTATACCATGTAGCACACATTGTATACAGACCCCGCTAGATGGATATCTACCCCTAAGCCCTTGGAGTATTTCAGTGAATAGATGAGGAGGAGGGTAGACAGTACCTGACATTTACTCAGTACTGCAGGAAAGACAGGCCATTGTCTTTGCTGAAATGAGAGACTCGGCCACAGAAGGGCGACTGGGGGAGAAAGAGGGCGGTGTAAGACAACCTGATATCAATCTAATGAAATAATAGCAAGCGCTCTGAAGTGGATATCTGGGATATCTCTTTTTTTTCTTTTTTTTTTTTTACCCCATTGTCAAACACGTTCTTTTCCTGGGGAAGGACGAACTCAGCCACACAAACTTGCTTTCACTGTCTCTAAAGGAGATGCCTGGCGAACCACAGAAGTCAGAAGTCCACATAATGCTCGTCGCAGGCAAGAGAGGGGTTTTAAATCCTGGGATGTTTAAATTCTCAAGACATAACCCCTCCCTCTTGGTATTTGGTGAACTCTCCTTTAGTAAGGTGCAGAGAAACCTCTTGCTTTTGGACATTTGACCTCACTTTTTATCAGAAATCATACAAATTGGTTGTTTATTTGTGTCTATTGACCAATCTTTTAAACTAGACTGCAAATTTTCAATTCAATGATTCAAGGAGTTTTTTATTGTCACACCACTTTGCTTGTTTGTGGTACTAAATTCAGACTTGGGTCCCAGGTTAAGAAATTTACTGCACACAAAATCTCTATATAAATAAAGTAATTTATGTGATATATAGATATGTGTGTGTTGAAGTGAGGGGTCATTCCTAATGTGATTTCTATGATCTTGCATCCAAGTTTCAACAAAGTAGATGATGTTTTCATGAAGTTCAAGTCAGTGACGGTAGCTGCTTTTAGGCGCGGCGGTGGCAGCTTCATGCTGAGGGCCTGCGGTTCTGGTGCACGGCACAAAGTGGATGGAATAATAAACGTTTAGTCTTCAACCTCACGTCAAAACGCCACATGAAAACATTGTGACACAGCTGGGTGATCCAACAACTCTGAGATCCCAAACACACCTCAAAACGGTTCATTAGAGTGGAAACAATCGGGCTAGCACTAAGCGTTCGGCATGACCTCGACCTCGACCTTTTGAAAAGGCTGCGTCTGTACCCAGAAACCGACTCGTTTAAATGAACTCCGCCGATTCCGCTCAGAAATGTGGTCAAATATGTAGAGAGCGAAGTATGCCAGAACCTTGTAATTGGCTGCTGTGGTTTCTCAGTAAATCAACAATAGTGCTGAGTTTTTGAAACCCGTTGAAGTTGCTTGCTGCCTAAAGAACGGCTCTCGACGCAGCGCTTAGGGGCTGTCATGTGACATTTGTGCAGAGTAAGAGTGTTGGCGAACTTCTGACGGGCACCGTCAACAAAAACCTCCGCGGAGGCCACTACAAAGACGTGTGACTAAGATGACACTTGTGAACCTTCTGGGCTGGAAAATGTTTCTGCCATGTGGCTTCTGTTCTGGTTGTCTCTTGACTAATGGAGAGAACACAAAGTCACCCATGAAGTGACAAACGGCACATATGGCAGGCAGAGGCAAACAAACAAGGTAAAGTCCAAGACAGTGGAGAGCTTTTCTGCGTCTGTTGTGTCGGGCTTCCACAGAAACAGCAAAAACGGCTCAGCATCCAGACAAAAAGAGGAAGGGAAAGAAGAACTGGTGAAAGGAAGTGAGACTGAGGCCAAAGAAACATCTGCTCCAGATCCTTTTTAGTGCACGCCGTCCACTTCTCAGAGTGAAGAGTGATTTGTTTGTCCGTGAGTCAGGAGCACAAGCCGAACGCACAGAGAGAGAGAGACAGAGAGAGAGAGAGACAGAGAGAGAGAGAGACGTTAAGGGATGTGTGCGCGCACAGAGGGAGAAGTTAATAAGTCAATAGGACACGGCTCCATATCTTGTTGGGCCTTGTTTGAGCGTCGAGTCCTGGAGAATAATAAACAGGACAGACACAAATCAGTGTTATCTTTTCACTCAGCGGGGTGAAGGGAGCGGGTAACAGAGCCAAAAAGAACAAAAAAAAGAACAGAGGAACAAAAAGAGAAAGAAAGGGAGGGTTTGGGAGTCGGGGGGGTAAAGGAGAATGAAAAGCCCCCTTCTGACTCGCATTGACCCACATACATTCGCCCAGCTTTTCTGAGGCTCGCTCTGTCTTGGCAACCAGCAGCCTCTGTGAAAGAATCCCAGCGTTCAGCCAAAGGCAAAGCCCATGTGAGAGAGGAGGGGAGGGGAGGATGGCAGAGGGAGAAAACGACAGAAAAGGAGAAGTGGATGGGTGGACACTAGACTCCTCCTTTTTTTTTTTTTCCTTCTCCCTCCTCCTCCTCGCCAGCCCTGTTGCTCCTGACGACGGGCTCTCAATGGATTCCTACATATTCAGGAGGCTGAGCCCGCATCGGCTTAAGTAAAAAACCATGTGGGGATCCTCCGTTATAAATAATCTTCGTCAAAAGCGCTAAACTACCACCAGCTAGGACACATAATGGAGTTAAAAGCCGTACCACTGTGCTATTAAACAGACACGAAATCCAGTCGGTCGTTCGTCAAATGGCAGTTTTATTGTTTTCTCGGGAACGACTGCTCACATCCGGTGTTTTTAATTGCGACACAGAGAAACGGAGCGACTGATAGATGGCAGAAGAGCTGCAATCGAGACGGGAGTTTTAGGAGTCTCCACAGCTGAAGCCTGTTTTTGCTGCGATCCGATGCAAAGTTAAAACAGAGACAGACGTATTCAACGCCGTTCATGTTCCATCGACTCTGCTGGAGGAAGGCATTCCCACAGCATGATGCCACCAACACCGTGTTTCATCACATCAGCGGTGTTAAAAGATTTATGTGGTGTTGCTCTTCACCCACACAGTGTTTGGCACAGCAATGGTCTATAAAAAAAAAACTCACTCTGGTCTCAAAAAGACATTCTTTAATCACAGAACAGCTTAAGTCATTTATAAAGTCATTGTCTTCTGGGGGAGATTAGTATTTATTTACATTCAGCATAGTGTTGGTCTCAATAAAGACATCTGTGTTTGCATTTTAACTGGTTTTCTCCTTTAGCTTTATCTGCTCACTCACCTTGCTTGGATTAGAAGAGCCACACGAGACAAAGGCGAATTATTTTGGCGCACCGTCTTTTTTCGGTGCAGAGCAGCAGCTGCGATCAGTGAGCAAACTGAAAAGAGACTTGTCCAAGCTTTTAATGGTGGGGGTCTGATTGGGGTGTCCAGACTTGTAGCCTAATGATGGATGAATGCAGAGCCTTCTAAGCATTAGTGACATAATCAGAGAGCTGTAGGTCAGCGAGTGACAGTTGGGTGCCTGTAGCCGGAATGGGAGAAAGAGGCCTTTCAGCCCCAACGTTCACAGACACCGGTCCAAGTTCATTAGCAGTCAGACAGGCTACAAGGCCCGCTGCAGGCTTCTCCCGGCGACACATGGCGCACACATACAGATGTATCAGCGAGCGCCGAAACGCCGAGCGACCCCTAACAGGCAGCGTTTTCTTCCTTAAAAGTGAATCTGTTTCTGTCCGCGACGACCCATCGCCGGGATTTCAAGAAAACCCCCGCTGGCCTTTTAAGCAGCTCTGGCAGCAGGTTTTATCTGTAAACAATAAAACGTTTGGGCTTAAACATTTTTTTTTTCTTTCTCTCTCTCTCTCTCTGGTTTTGGCGTTTTATCACCAGCAATCATCTATAGACTCTCCCTTCTTTTCCTGCCATTAAGCGATGATGAGGCCAAACCCGCAGCTCAGCCAAAAAGAACCTGATAGTCGTGGAACCGACGCAGATTCCCCCTCCACGCCGTCCCACCGCCCCTCTCCGAGCCCCCACACCTTGGAATGCATTTCTGCTGCGCTGCACTTTTCACCATCCAGCAGGGAATGGACGCAACAGGAAAAAAAAAAAAGAAAGAACAAAAAAAGAAAAAGAAAATCCCCACCTGCACCCACCCACTCAGGCACAACCCCCTCCCCCCACACCACCACTTACTTTTCGAGCAATTGCCCCAAAGACCCCGTGAGGCCTGCACAAACACACTGACAGGCGTGGAAAGCAGCTAAATATGTCCTGTTGAACTTCAAAACAGGAGTTAGATGTAGAGCTGGTTTAAAAAAAGGATCTTTTATCAACTTTAAAGTGTAATTAATTAATTACTTTTCATACTATGCTTGCACATTTGTTAGTTTTGCTCCAATTTAGATTGGAAAACATTTATTTAGTTGGGAAAAAAAATTTAAATATATCACAGACAGCTTTATTGTGCTATCTAGGTGCAATCTGTGTGACAAAGTTGTTAATTGCCTTTCAAATAAATTTAACTACACCACTTAATACTTTTTCCTGTTTCATAAATTTGATGTGACACAGAGGTTAAAGTCTTTTAGCCACAAGTCTCTAAACTGCATGAAATCCATATTTATATCCCTAACAAACACACAACGAGGAGGACAATATGCTGGTGTCATCAAGTAACCATAACAACCAGTAGATAGCGACTACAGTCCAGTGAGCTGTTTTGGAAATTATGCCAAGAAAAAGCCTTCTGCGTCCTACAATAACAAAGTGGAGTTTGCGAATCGATGCAGGGATTTTCTATCCATCTTCTCTCGGGGTGTCAGTGACTACTCGGTCAGTTTTCCTTCAGATCATGCAATATTTATTTTCACAACAAGGATGAACCAACCAATGAGAAAAAAAATTACACCAACGTTGAAGAAAGAAAAAAGAAAAGAAAAAGACTGAACTTTGTTGTTTTATTAACTTGATCCTATTAAATGTAATGACCCCCACAGTCATAAAAACCAGAGAGCCAGACTGCCTCTTCTTTCATTCTTGACCCATTCCATTCGTATTTTCACAGAAATGGAGAATCTGTGCGCAAATCCAATCCCTGTTGATTTCAAATATCAGGGCTTAGTGGGCAGCGAGTTTCCCTTTAACAAGCTCACGCACGGACACGTAAAAAAAAAAAAAAATAACAAAGAAAGAAAGAAAGAAAGAAAGAAAGAAAGAAAGAAAGAAAGAAAGAAAGAAAGAAAGAAAACCCAACAAAGAACCACCAAAACACACACACACCCTGCTTCTCATAAATGACCACAACTGAACGGAGACAAATTCCACCACAGATGCGCCTCTCAGCCTCCCTGACCGCAGAAGCTATGGTGGAGAAAACAAGACCCCCGGTTCCCACCACGTACATCACATCCTCTGTGGTGCACCTTACGCCCCCGCCCTGCCTCTGTTTAAGTCATCCTTCCTACACACTGAACTCTAACTCTTCCATTGCGCCCCCTGAAACATGCTTACTCGAGTGGGCTACAAGTGTGTACAGTAAGACGCGGTTTACAGTGTAGGTGTTTGAGCCGCGCAGTCGCTCTGCACCTGAACAAACGAGGGTTATAAAAAGGACATTTATGCTAACGGTGAAGCCCCCCTCA